GAGTCTGGTACCCCACAGCTATTCAAGCAGACTGTACACACTCCCGATGGACCAAGAACACAAGTTTTGCGGCCTTTCATAAATGTACGTGGAATGTTTTCAAAAAGAGGGAGATTTTTAAAAAGAGAAAATTTTTCTTTGTTGATGACAGTAAAACTGCGGCATGTGACGCATTCATACTAGTTTTCTTCATTGCTTTATCTCTTTTTAAAGTCAAAACATGACACAGTGAATTTCGCTGGTGCTCCTTTATTTGTTATCAAACGATTGATCTAACTGCATGTAGAAATGAGCATTTGTGCAAGTGATCATTTAGTCATTCCTGTTCCATCATCACCAGCATATTTATGTTTTTCAAATTCTTTGTGTAAGAGGCATTTACGGCGTTGTTGAGATGTTATCAAGTCATGAGCTGCTGCTGATGCCGTTATTATATCACTCGCGCTATTCTCATAATTCAGGAACGTGGACAAACAGTTTATCGAGCAGTGCGAACGATACCAGCTTCTGTGAGAGGCGTAGGAGTACGAAGAATTGTTCGAAACGTTTCTGATAATGTGGGGAGCGGGTATCAACAAGCTTCTGCAGATTCAGTCAAAGAACCGCAACGAGTCATTGTGTTTCGTCAAAATACTCCTACAGGTTTGCCGCTTTTCGTAGAAGCATTTTCTCTCTCTCTCTTTCATACAATTTTAGAACTTTTGTTAGTTTTTATACTATTTTAGGGACTGTACTTGTGCGAAAAGCGGTACCTTCTGGTACGCCTTTACCGCGAACAGTAAATGTAGCTAGTAACGGTGGTGTGGTAAGACGATTTGTCACTCGAGAAGCAATTGCCCGTCCACTGCGAGGCTCTGATGTTTAGTTAGTTATTTTTCATTAGATGATTTTGCAAGTACCAGTCTAGCAATTCCACTCAGAAGTGGCGTTGTTTATCCATTTCCTATCAGCTTCTTTTATCTTATAAACTATTAATTCACAGGAATTTCTCTAAGTTTTCGTAGAAGCATTTTTAGAAGCATTTTGTCTTTCATGCAATTTTTAGAACTTTTGTTAGTTTTTATACTATTAACCTGAAACCGATGCCTCCTATCAAAGCATAATAAACATTTCGATGGCATGTAAGGCTTTCATTTCCATCTGTTCTATATCTCAATTTTTATCAGTGCGCGCGGAACAACGCCATCGGTTCGAGGCAATGTTCAATATAGAACTTCTGGTCAGTATTTTGCTATGTCCCCAGCCTCAACTTCACAATCTCCCCAACCTATACGAGGAGGAACTGTTATCAGGCGGGGAATATCTTCTTCTGGTGCAGTTCCAGGCACGAGAGTGACAAGTAAGTTCACTTCTTAGCCATCTTGTTGAGCGTTCGCCTCGTGATTGATTGAATCTTGTCTATCTATAGGATATGCGGCTGTTCCGGTTCGCTCAAGCGTTGGTTACTCCGCATCCTCTCCCAACCTTTCATCATGGTCATCGTATTCGCCATCACCATCTACAACCTCTAGTATAGGCGAGACTGATTCGGAATCGAGTATTATTGTAAGTTTCTTTTACTGTTCATCAGAGATATCTCTATGAAATTTTCCTGGTGTTTCTGAAATCTAATTTTTTTCTTGTAATCAAAAACTAACGTATGAAGTATGGTGGATTGAGTGCATTCATCACATTTCTACCATGAATCTTGCCACCCT